CTGATTTAGTAAAGCTTCTTGAAGTGTGGTGGCGCGCCATCTTGTTAGAATAACTGCCGTTGGAATTGAGTTGTGTCAACATTATCGGGATGGAAGGAATGACATCGCTTTGAAAAAATGTAAACATCTCTTTCCACTTAAGGTTTCCTCACTAAGAATCTCTTGCGGATCTTTTGCGGATATTGGGTGTTCGACTTTCTTGGCTAATTTGGATTTTGGGTAGCGCAATACCGACAACTTTGTCTATTTACTTGTCCACTCAATGTAAATGTCCCTTCATCGAAAAAATTATGTTTTTGACAAAGTCTGCGTCATCGTTGCAAAATTGTTGTTGCAAAAACTACAATTCATTGTTCGTGAATCAGGTTTACCTTATGGGAATGATATTTTGCGGGTTTTAAAATTTTATGAAGCGTTGATTTACTATAATGTCCGAATTAGACGCAATACTCCTTACAGTAACATGAGGGTTTTCTTACCCAGCCAAAACCACGATTTGTTGAACTTCCCTTGAAACATTTAGTAGGTCAGACTTCGAGAAATGGCTATGTTGTTTAAATTTAGTCACAGCTAGGCTCACCATACTTTGGCTAATGAGTTGGCGATCAGGCTATGTTGTATTAAAGAGGTCAACTACTTACTAAATCAGTTTTTCACACTTAGGAAATTGTTTAAAATAATTGGTTACCATAGTTACTCATGGCTACTGCTATTGTCATCATGTCAACAAATCTGAAGTAGTTAAACTTTAAAGTAATTTTTCTCGAAAATTTTCTTATGTAGGCAATATTAATATTGACTGTACTAGATTCAGAAAAAAATCTTCTTTCATATTCCGTAATAAAAATGGGGGATTGCCATTTGAAAAAAATACCGCTGACGTCATAACTCGCTTAAAAATGCCGGAAGAAATTTAAAATCTACACCAAACAGTTGCAAAAAATTTAAATCTTTAGACCCGTTTCAGGGATTTTTCCATAAACCGTTTATAATGATTTTATCGCCTATATCCGTCACTTTACGGACAGACTGTATATTTTAATTATGTTTATTCGACAAGCCGGGTTTCATTTACGCCCCAAATTACGATAAAATTGAGAATATTATTGCTAGTAATAAATAAAGCATTTAAATACATAGTTTATTGAATTTAGGTAAAGAAAAGAAAAAGATTGTTTACGCAAATATAATTTTTGATACCTTTTTGATCTTTCCAAAGTAATGCTTAAAAAAAGTTTACTATGTACATATAATATTATAACTTTTGTAATAAGTGTGGAAAAGTGAGTACATCACAATATTGTGACTCAAGAACATTTTATAATGGTATGTACAATTTTATAGTGGTGTAAATATACATACAGGGGTGTCCCGAAACTCAACGTCAAGCGGGCACCGGGTGAGAGGCCAACCCATACCTGTTCTGGTAAAAATAAGAAAAAAATTGTGTATCTCTTAGTTAAGTGGTAATAGAGATATTTTTAAAAATGTTAAAAATCGTTCCCGTACATCATATCTTTAGGTACTACAGTCAGAAATGTTCGCAATTTAATAGTGATTTTTTTAATAATGTATTCCTAATAAACCATGCTACTATAGCAGTCACAAATCGAACAACAAAAGTCATTAGTTTTGCAAAAAAGAAGTATTAGTTTGATTGAGATAAGGTTGAAAGAATTTATATCTATTAAGTTTGACACACGATTTCTAAACAAAGGAGTGGTACAACAGCCTTAGCAAGTTATTTTAAAAGATGGCCTGTTTAGTCAAGATTCCAAAATGGTATAACACTTGGCATTTTTCTTTTCCTAAAAAATATTATTGCCTGTTTTTCTGTCAAAAACACGTTATTTAAAAAATTCATACTTTCGTATGTTATTTGTATTTCTTCCAAAATGATTCAACAACTTTATTAGAAGATGTGCCACTCAATATCTATAGAGAAATGTGGTTTCAACATGATGGTTGCCCAGCTCATTATGCTTGTCCTGTACGGGATTGCATACAGAATACCCAGAAAGGTGGATTGGGCGTCGTGGTTCGATTAGGTGGCCTCCTCATTCTCTGGGTCTAAATCCCCTTGATTTTCTTATTAGGATTGCATAAAAGAAACAGTGTATTAAAAACCGATTGAAAATATTGCCGAACTGAGCCACAATATTTATACAGCAGCAGAAGAAACAAATCCAAAGAGATTTGCACAACTAGTAAAAATCTTTTCTGTGACGATGTAGAGCTTGTATTAGTGCCGACGGCAAATAATTTGTGCATTTGCCTTGGTTTTAGGAAAATAATGCTATAAAATTAATAATAAATAAATTTGTTTGTTTAATTTTGTCTTTAGGTTAACCTTATTTGAAAGAGTCTTTTTGCAAGACATAGGGGCAACCATCTTGTTGAAACCACATTTTGTAGTTCGTAGATCTTGACATCTTCTAACAAAGTTAAGAGGAAATAAAAAGTAAATACAAATAACATACAAAAGTATGAATTTTTTAAATAACATGTTTTTTGCAGAAAAACAGGCAATAATATTTTTTAGGAAAAGAAAAATAGCAAGTGTTGTACCATTTTGGAAACTTGACTAAACAGACCATCTTTTAAAAGTACTTGCCAAGCGTGTTGTACTACTCCTTTTTTTAGAAATCGTGTGTCAAACTTAATAGACATAAATTCTTTCAATCTTATCTCAATCAAACTAATACTTTTTTTTTGCAAAACTAACGACTTTTGTTGTTTGATTTGTGACTTCTACAGTAGCATGGTTCACAAGGAATAGATTATTAAAAAAATCACTATTAAATTGCGAACATTTCTGACCGTAGTACCTAAAGATATGACGTACGGGACCGATTTTTAACATTTTCAAAACTATGTCTATTACCACATAACTAAGAGACATGGAATTTTTTTCTCATTTTTACCAGAACAGGTATGGGTTGGCCTCTCACCCGGTACCCGCTTGACGTTGAGTTTCGGGACACCTGTATATGCGTCAGGGTATATTTGCGACTTTAGAGTAGGGTCAAATATCAATATAATCTCAAAAGGCGTTTAATGCTGAATTAACTTGAAGCAATTTTTGAAGATCTTGATCTCAACGAAGTAATTGATATTGGTTATGTTTCACACGAAGTTGACAATGGGGCCATACACGATTTTTTTTTTATTATATTTTCTGAAAGTTTATATAAAAATATAGTTACCGTTATTTTTTTTTTTAATATTTTCGAACAAAGTCATTGTTAAAAAAATTATTGAAAATTTATATACCCATTTAAGCTTTTAAAATTCCCGCGTTGATGACGTACGATTCTCACTTTTGCGTCCCCTGCCAGCCGCTCAAATGCGAGAAAGAGATGAACGTCATTTAGGTTGTATTGAAAAGAGATAGAGTGTTTGTAGGTTATGTTTATTATGTTTTGTTCATGGATGTAATAGAGGCACTCTATTACATCCATGGTTTTATTTTGACACTGTCACACCGCAAGCGCCATCTAACGGACAATTTAACTTGTTTTAGGCAGTGCGGTTCCTACGTCACAGAAAAGCCGCGAAATTATTTCGTTTAAATATTTGCTATTTTTCACTTCAAATTACGCAAAACATAAAATTGATCAAAATATTTCTTTTACTTTGTGTTCATGCATATACTTGCATATATCGTTTGACATAAAAATTTTCTCTAAATTTAATAAGTGTGTATGACCCCATTTGACCAATGAGGAAGATATTTAGAAGAAACTATCGGTGGAATAAAAGATTTGCCATTTGATATTGTCGGAACATTTGAAATACTATTACCAGGGAAAAAATGGTGGTTGCCATTTATAAATATGTTAAACTCCGCCATAGTAAATGCTTGAAAAATGCACAGGCAAACAATATAATGACAAACCAATTCCTCTGTTGGATTTTAGTTTGGAACTTGTAGGAAGTCTTATTAGTGTCAACAGTTAAGATACACCAGAGGACATGGTTCCACAATTTTTGTGTATTTTATGTGTATCAAGTGTTAATTTCAAAAAATCTACCAAAATGTATTATGTTGTATTCTATATTTTAAAGATTGTTTCTAAAGACCTAAATAAAGGTTTATTGACAAAAAAATTAGAATTTTTTCTATTATTTCTATCACTGGTCCTTAATGCGTTAAAAATTAAAAGAAACTCTTTATGTAAACACTATTTTTTATTTGTTTTGCATTAAATGTTTCACTTTTCAATAGAAAAATTGTCTCGATTCAGTAATCCGAATTATTTACTTACTCCATGGTTTTGATTAGTATAAATTATCGAGGTCGCACTGTATTGGTGATAATTACTTAAATTTCTTAGATGTTATGAAAAATATGCTTTAGGAGTGCTCACTCATATCCGTAATTATCAAATTTCAGATAAAGCATGTTTTTCAATTCTATTATTTACTCATGATTTATGATACATAATTTGTAAATAGCAAATAGGTGTTTTTTTTGAAATTTGTGAATGTTTAAATACTAAGCCACACCTAGAATTACTAATCATGATATTTTGAATTTTTAACCATTATTTCACAAAATTGCACTGGCTTTAATTACTGTGATAAAAGTTTTGATAACTTTAGAATTATATCCCCATTCTACAAAAAAAGAACTGAAAAACGTATCTAATTTCATCAATAAAACGTTTGGAAATTAACTTTTGAATCACCCAAGTTTATCAAAACTTGCTCAGAATACATTAATCATGTCACATTAATCAAAATATTACAATAGCTTTAATTAAAGCTATGTGATAGATATATTTAAACAAAGAACTGTACAGAATGAAAATAAACTCCATATGGACACATTCTTTAAACACCAATGTGGTGAATCACCCTTCTTAGTTCTTAGTATTAGTACTACCTTTCTTTAGGTTTTTATTGCCAGGGATATAAATGACACAAAAACTTGAAAACATTCTCTCACTTTTTAAACAAACTTTCAAATGAAATTGATCAAAATTTAAAAGACATACCTGAGCATTTTTGTGTTTATTATGTTGTAAATGTTGATTAAATTCTTGAGACTGAAGTTGATAAGCAAGGGCCCCATCTTCACGAACCAACCATTCCCTTCTCATTTCGTGAACCTTCCCAATTTTCGGGAGACCCTCCCTCGGAGGTAATTTAGGTTCAGGCTCCATTATATTCACCTGTTAGCCAATTTGCAGTCTTTTCCTTTCTCACGATTTTTCACAACTTTCTTTTTTTACATACTTTGTGGCCCCATTTCATTTCGCGCCCTATAATTAATATAACAAGATAAACTCGTTTCGTCCATCCGAGAGTTGCTCTACAAGAACCAAACGAAGAAAAAGGGCATAGCACCCGGGGCTGCACAAGCGATCTGCCAAACGGTCACCAATAAGTAAACCTTGCCTTCGCCGAACACCAATCCGTACGGAATTCGCATTCCGCAAGGAAGAACGGTTAAAATGAAACAGACGAACGTGTACGAAGCACTAAACAAATAGAGATGACAGATATTTTCTTTTTGCTTTCCCACTTTACCTCTGAATCTTAACCCCACTACAATTGCTTTTGCGCGTTGGAAGGGAATTGGGGATATTCAAATTGTGATTTAAGATGCCTACCGACTTTAAAATAGTTATATTTATCATACAAGAATCATTGTACTTACAATATAACGTTACAATCAATATCATTTAATACTGTAGAACCTACAACTTTTTGTTGAAACTAATTATTAAAATATAAGCTTCACTAAATATTTGCATACATTTGTTACTTAAAAAAATAATTAAACAAACTAAAAAAATGTTTAATTTTAATTATTAAATATGTTTTAAAATATATTAACCAAAACTGCATACTTACTTATAGAACTTCAGCACTTAACAAATGACGTCAGATTAAGATTTATTTGTCTCTTGTTCTTTAAAAAGTAGTAACGACAATACTAATGCGTAATTATTTCCTATTATAAACATTGATTATAAATTTATAAATCAGTTTTTATGATAATTTATTGCTTTGTTAATTTAAAAATTTAGGTTGGCAATATTTCAGGGCTACCAACGTGACCTAAAGTGTCAAGAATTTTGACAAAAGTGCAGGCGCAGAAGTTGGCCGGTAGTTGTTACAACAGAAGAAAATCTTAAAAGTCACGTCTTATTTCTTTATTCACCAGTAGATTAAGCACCAAATCAATAAATTAAGCCATAAGGACCGTTTTGGAGTCGGTGCACGTGTTATTTAGTTATTACTCTTTGAAGTGACAACTACTACAACACACATCCTGTCATGGCGGCACCATCATCAACCGGTGTGGGTATGTCATCTTCGATTTTTAATTCAAGAAAAAGCAATTTAAATAATGTTTATAGGTTATTTCGTCTCTGTTTTTAGTAAAAATCGAAGTTATAGTTACATGCGTTTAAAAAGTTAGCTGAGTGCGTTTGTTGTTTTTTGCAGTGGTACCCCGAAACTTCAGGTTGTTGGAGGAGTTGGAAGCGGGACAGAAAGGCGTCGGAGATGGTACTATCAGTTGGGGACTTGAAAATGACGATGATATGACGCTCACGCATTGGATGGGAATGATAATTGGACCTCCACGGACACCTTATGAAAATAGAATGTATTCAGTTAAAATCGAGTGCGGCCAAAGGTATCCGGACGACCCGCCTATTGCTAAATTTATTTCTAGGATTAATATGAACTGCATCAATTCATCTACTGGTGTGGTGAGTAAATTTTTTTTTCTCTGTTGTATTTTTAAATATCACTTTATTTCTAAACTATCATACATACAATGTTTTTTTTTATAATACCAAAGTATTGTCATTACATATTCCTTATTACATAAATCAGAAACAGATCTATAAATATTTTAACCAAACAAAATTATTATTACAATGCTTTTTGGAATTCTTTTTTCTTATATATGTTTTCCCCTTCATATTTCCATATAAATATTCTTGCTTTCATTTATTTTATAATATGATTTGCTCACCATTTGAAATAATTGTTACAAAAGTAAATCAGAAGACTAAAATTATTATGAGGTTATGTGAATTCTTAAAAACACTTCATTGTTTTATGAATCTTGTAGAATATAATATCAAGCAGCTGTGCCACAACAACTAAGGGCCAGTCATATGGTTAAAATGCTTTCCCACTATAGTTTTTATGTGCATTACTTTAACCCTTTCAGGACCAAGCTGGATTTGGTAGCCATACCTTGGGGACTGACAGTGACGCATGTTCGTACGGGTTCTGGTCCTGTAGTGCTCACAATGAGCTATAGAGCCAAGCATGATGATGTAGATAAGCCTTGTGTTGGCTCATTTCACATATAATGTCGTATTTCCAATAAACTGGTCCAAGACTTCTAAGAGATTTACTTGCTAATAAATTGATCTTACATTCTGAATTTGCGCCGCACACTTGGCTGAATTCCGATTCTAGCTGGACAAAATTATTTTATGGGCTTAACAAGGGCTAGAATAGCTCAAAAAAATAATAAAAAAATATAATATGAAGGAAAAAGTAGGTGTTTTAGTTCTCAGAACAGAATTTTGAGGTTTTTCACATATTTTTAGGAAAAAGTTAGTAAGATCCAAGAGGTTAAAAAGGCCCACCATAAATTGATTTACAAAACAAACATATAAAAATAATTTCATGTGAAAAAAATATATATTTATTGCAACTTTTAATCAATTCTACTCATACACCTGAGTAAAAAAATTAACAAAAACAATGCATTTTTGAAAAAATAAAACATAAAGAGTAATATTGCATTGGGCCTTATTACCTATCGTAGTCAGGTAATACTTAAGGCCCATATTATGCGTACGCTGAAATTAAGGTCCGGGACTCTAATCAGTACAGTCCAGACATTGGACGTCGTCCAAGTAATCTTTAGTTAGTGCATCCAGGACTAACACCCTGTGCACTGTCTCATGTCTGCTACCCTCTCTTCATCACAAATAACGCAAAGCCATCTTTCTTGATTTGGACTCGAAAAGCTGCAACTGGGCAGAGGCTCTGTTAATACCGAGAGGTTACAACTAGACAGAGGCTCAGGCTGTGAAATGTCCCTCTTATTGGATTTTACAGGTGTATGTTTGGGGATGGATGTTTCACCTTTGTGACCAGAAAAATGGCTTTAGTCATCTCTTGGGCTTTATAGTTTATAGTCTTAATGTCAGGAATGACAAGAATTTTGGAGAAAGTGTTTTCTTTGACGGGAGTGACTTGCTTATTCCAACGTTTTTTTAATAAAGCTAGGGGAATTAAGTCGTCTCGGATCTCAGTTATCACATGCAGTTTCCGGTTCATCCGTTTCTTGTTCTTTTCTGGTGGGACAACGGGGTGCATAAGCATGTTCAGGAATGACAGTTTTATCAAAAGGATAAATACCTGTTGCTCTAAATCCATTCGTAATATTATTAATGATCATACTTTTGGCCCTCATGTGTCGTGTTTGGAGGTAAACGTAATAAATGAATTCCAAGTCTCTCAGCTGTGTCGACTATTGCTAAATCAAGATGTGATGCAGCGCCATCGAATATCACTGGTGGTTGGATAAAGCTCGAAAAATGCTTTAACTATTCAATAAATAAAGAGGTGGTCATGCTACTTTTTGGAGACATAGCGACCTTAGAATCTGGCGGTAATTCATCAGTTGGCTTCATTCTTTTACCCTTAAATAAGATCATTGGATGAATGCAATTGCCTAATGCGTTAGGGCAAGCCACTATCGTACAATTCTCTGCATGCTCGAAGGCATGCACAGACTCTTTTGTTGACCTTCTTAGCAAGCACTGTTTGTTGATGTAGCGTCAGTCTGCAGCCTTTTCACTTTTCACCAATCACGTCCGGCAATTTCCCTTGTTCTATTGAAACATATACAGGGTGTCTCAGCGAGACCGGTCATTAGACGTTTCTGGGGTTCTGGCCAAAATAAAAATTTGAGAATTCAGACTTAAATATTGTCAATTGCGTTCTCTTCAACTAAAATATTTTCAGATTTCCAGCACTTCCGGTTATACCTTTCTTCCAGCACTCTCCGGTCTGTTTTCGTGGTTTATAAATAACATTCCTTTTGGCAATTTGATTCGGCCGTTCTCGACTTATTCGAATTTTTCTAGAAAAATCTGCTCCAGCAGACATTTATTCAAAAAATCAGAGAACACTCGATTTTTGGGATATCAATTTAGGATTCAGAATATGCTTAAGCAACATGATGGAGTATCTTTTGGTGTCGAGAACGGCTGTCTAGATCGTTTGGTCACTTTACTATGGCACGCAGTTTTCAAAATTTGGAAGTACCATAACTTAATTTTTTTAAATGGCACTTCCCATATTTTATTACTTAGTCGTCTTCGGTGTCTCATTCTACATCTTTTATATCCCATATGTCCCATACTCGTTTGGGAGATAATTAGGGTTTTTTGAAAAAGGCACACATATCATATGGATATTAGGCTAGTGTGCCATGGAAAACAAGCCTTCTCAATGAGTTCTTGTCACAGACTCACTTGTTTACGTCACTTGATGCATGTGAGCTAATAATTATCTGTTAGACTCTTAATATTAGTATTAAAAAGGGTTAAAATCGATAACAATAACGAAAGTAATATTTACACAAATCAAGAAATTCTTAATTTTTTTTTTTACATGAAAAGCGCGACAAAGTTCGTAGTATGATTCCCAGATCTTCTTTGGCAGCTCGAATTGAGGCGTTGGGACTGGGCTCGAAATAAGCCAAGCCAAACCTCTTCCGCTACATTATCTACTACATTTTTTGGTCAGTTTAACACGTGATTAATTCGTCCAACATGCAAAAAATTTCCTTCTATTCTTCTAAATTTACGTTTTGCCATCGTAGGTAAATGTGGATAGTTTTCATTAAACATTCTGCAAATTCTACTAAGAACTTTGTTTCACCTTCGTTCAATTCCCATTTTGGTAGACAACCTCATATTCTTAAAAGAATTAAGATATCGGGTTTTGGTTTATGGGGTTTTTCATTACCTTTAAAATAAGGTAAAACTCGACAGGGGTTGCTATTTAAAAATGTAGGGGTGGTGATCCCCTAAAAAAACTCCACATTGCATGGAAGTGCTAACCTATTTAAACTAGAACTACCGACCGGTCAAATTGACGTTCGCTTAATTGCACCATATTTGTTTAAACTGTCAATTTTTTGACATTTAAAGCTGTCAACTTTATTTCAGCGCCTACTTTGATTGTATTTGCTGATTTAATATTTTTAGAGAACGCATTTTTTTCTCGATTTTTTTCTAATACAACCATATGATTTGATATGTTCATCGCGTAGAGGGATTTATCCTCTATTAAAATGTGTAAAAAAAAAACATGGGATGCACCATTTAAAATAACAATGTTGGTTGCCATAGCAACGAAACAAAGAACAATGTAAACAAGCAAGTATCGCCAAAAAATGCGCCACAATTAATAAAGAATTTTTATTTGAAACATTTTTCTTTAAAACCACAAAAGGCGAAGTTATTCGCTATATTCCAGACATTTGACACACCCTGTATAATTAACAATAATTAAACATTCAGATTAGAATTACATTCAGATCTGGACTGTTGGAAGGCCAAGACAGAACATTAATATTTTGATCGCCAAACCACTTCTTTCTAGTTTTGGCCGTATGACAAGCCGCTCCATCTTGCTGAAATATGTAATTTTCGCCAACATTTAACTTCACGATGCGGCGTTCACGGTGCCATCAATAAAATATTCAAAGCATCTAAAATCAAATGCGGATTACAATCGGATGTGGATTACATTGACAAACCAACTTTTTTTACCACCATTGTATTTTTAAAATCGAAGTGCGGATTAGATTCGAGAAAATACGGTACATTCCACACTGTGCTTTTAGGAATATTAAGTTCGTCTGCTATTTCACGTATTGTTTTATTGCGGCAATAATTTTTAATCACTAATTCACGGATTTTTAACACTGTAGAGATACCACGTACCATTTTATTTGATAAATACAGATTTACTCAACAGCAACAATGTTACAAGCGTTGGAACAAACCGGCAATTTGACATTTCATTTTACGTTGTTTCCACAGTTTACTTATCTTAATTTGTTCCATTTTTATGGAAGTTACTTTACACTATCTCAATATTAAGCTGTCAGGTAAAATGTGTATTTTTCTAGTTTAATTAGAAGGATATGTATTTTATTTTTTGTGTTGTTCGTTAGACAAAATTGTTGTTAATTATCTAATAAACTGATATTAATCTGAAAAAATTATTAAAACAAAATAAACTGTTTAATTGTTGTTAATTATATACACATTTTATTTTGTCCCAATATATGGTTGTTAGAGCACGTATATACCTTTTAGAATATATGTGAAAATATAAAAAAGGGAATTTTTGTCCATTCTGCTATATTTTATATCAATCTTTGTTATACAGGTGTGTCACGTAACTGGTAGTTACGTAAAGTACTTTTGAAATTTTGGTAGGAGCATTAATCGTCCGAAACTTTCGATCAAAAATACTTTCAAAATGGCCGCTACCTCCGGTTTACCGGAAGTGGACCACAACTTCGAATGGAATGCTATTTTAACAATGCTTTATGCTTTCTATGTTAACTTTGATAATAGTTATTCGTACCTATTTGCTTTCGAATTATTTTTATTTTAAGTTTTTCTTGGCGAATTGCACTATAACCCCATTTCTCGGC